GCAGGGTCCCCTCTGTCTACACTGGGTGCAGGTGGAGGTGGGGCAACTTCCCCTCCTGTCTACACTGGGTGCAGGTGGAGGTGAGGCAGGATCCCCCTCCTGTCTGCACTGGGTACTCTGTCTACACTGGGTATAGGTGGAGGTCGGTCAGGGTCCCCTCTGTCTACACTGGGTACAGGTGGAGGTGGGGCAGGGTCCCCTGTGTCTACACTGGGTGCAGGTGGAGGCGAGGCAGGGTCCCCTCTGTCTACCTGGGTGCAGGTGGAGGTGGGGCAGGGTCCCGTCTGTCTACACTGGGTGCAGGTGGAGGTGGAGCAGGGTCCCGTCTGTCTACACTGGGTGCAGGTGGAGGCGAGGCAGGGTCCCCTCCTGTCTACACTCGGGCCCCGGGTGCTGGCACCCACCTCTCTGCACACGTGCAGCTGGTAGCTGAGCTCCTGGTGGTGCAGGCGCTGGTGTGTCCTGGGCCGTCTCCACCGCACCACACACTGCGTCTTGTTGCAGGTCACCGTGACGTTGCTGGGCGGGTCGAAGCGTTCTGTAATGAGGGTGCCGGACTCACCCGTGAACCCGGGGCCCGCACGACCGCCCCGTCCCTCCCAGACAAAGTGGCTCATGTCTGTGACCCCAGCTCTTGGGGAGGCCGAGGCGGGCGGATCCCCTGAGGTCAGGAGTTCGAGACCAGCCTGGCCAACACGGTGAAACCCCGTGTCTACTAAAAATACAAAAGTTTAGCTACTTGGGAGGCTGAGGCAGGAGAATGGCTTGAACCCCGGAGGCGAATCGTTCGTGAACAGCCACGGAACTGGAGGCTGTGGGAGCCGGGCAGGATGGCCCGGCAGGTGCCAGGCACAGCAGAGATGCCCGCGGGTGCAGGGCCCCGGGCGGGAGCTGGGGACGGGCTGGGGGCGTGTCCGGGCCTGAAGAGGTGGGGGTGTCCAGGGGATGAAAGAGGCCGTGGTGGGGTGCGGCGGGCTTGGGAAGTGGACAGAGTGTGGGTGTGGGGGGCCGACTCGAACACGCCAGCCTGGAGCCGAGCCTGGGCACGGGGAAGTTGCTGGTGAGGAAGGAAGGAAGGAAGTGCCAGACGGAGGGAGGAGGAATGGAGGGAAGGAGAAGCAACGGGAGGAAGAAATGAGGGGAGACAGGAGGGACGGAGGCGGACAGTGGGGTGATCTTGTCTCACTGCAACCCCCGCCTCTCAGACTCAAGCGGTTCTCCTGCCTCAGCCTCTCAAACAGGCGGGATCACAGGCGCCCGCCACCACGCCGGGCTAATTTCGTATTTTTATTAGAGACTTGGTTTCTCCACGTTGGCCAGGCTGGTCTCGAACTCCCAACCTCAGGTGATCCGCCCGCCTCGGCCTCCCACAGTGCTGGGATGACGGGCGTGAGCCAGCGCGCCCGGCCAGTTACACAGATTTTTGTTTGTTTGTTTTTCACTTTTTTATTTTAAAGCGACACCGATTTTAAGGCGAATTCCACCTCACCTATAAACAAGAGGACATCGGATGTTTTATTCTGTTTTTTCTCTCTGTCTCTTTTTTTCTTGTTGCTCAGCATTTTTGCAAGCGAGTTATTCTCACCTATTTTATTCGTGTCCAAAAGGGAATCGAAGAACTGGACCTCGCCTTCTCGGCTGGTTCCGGTAACCAGGAAGTAATTGCGTGAGGTTAATCCCGTGAGGTTGTTCAGGTGACACCCCACGTGGGTTCCCAAGTCCTGCGTGTAATAAGGACACCGAATCTCCCTCCTTCCCCTGAAGGATTAGAAAGCGTTCAGACAGCAGTGAGGAAAATCAAACAGAACAAAAACACAAACCCTCAAAGCAAAACCACAAAAAAAACAAAAAAACCACCACAAAACGCAAACAGAAAACAAACACACAAAACAAAAAAACAGGCCAGGCGTGGTGGCTCACACTGGTAACCTCCGCACTTTGAGAGGCCGAGGCGGTTGAACCACGAGGTCAGGAGTTTGAGACCCGCCTGGCCAAGATGGTGAAACCCCATCTCTACTAAAAACATGCAAATTACACATGCACCGCAAAACCTAAAACACAATAAACAAAAATAAAACAGAGAAAACGCAGGGTTCATCTACCTGAAACAACAGTTTTAAAAGATGAGGGTTTACTGTACAAACAATACTTCATTAACAATGTAGAAATTTAAAATGCAAGAAAGATCCCTCAGAATCCTCTCTTAAAATCTGTTTTTCGTTTGACAGACAGATTCCTGTTTACTCTTTGATCATATATATATATATATATATATATACACATATATATATATATATACACATATATATATATTGTTGTTTTGTTGTTTTGTTTGTTTGTTTTTTTTTGAGACGGAGTTTCGTTCTTGTTACCCAGGCTGGAGTGCAATGGCGCGATCTCGGCTCACCGCAACCTCCGCCTCCTGGGTTCAGGCAATTCTCCTGCCTCAGCCTCCTGAGTAGCTGGGATTACAGGCATGCGCCACCATGCCCAGCTAATTTTTTTTTTTTTTTTTTTTTTATTAGAGATTGGGTTTCACCATGCTGACCAGGATGGTCTCGATCTCTTGACCTCGTGATCCACCCGCCTTGGCCTCCCACAGCACTGGGATGACAGGCGTGAGCCACCGGTGCAAAGGTATTGTCAGCAGAGACAGGATTTTGTATCTCATTTCATTAAATATTTTGAATGCTTTGCAAAAAAAAAAAAATTAGCCGGGCGTGCTGGTGGGCACCTGTCATCCCAGCTACTCGGGAGGCTGAGGCAGGAGGATCGCTTGAACCCGGGAGGCGGAGGTTGCGGTGAGCCGAGATCACACCACTGCACTCCAGCCTGGGCGACAGAGCGAGACTCTGCGTCAAAGAAAGAAAAAGAGAAAAAAAATGAACAGAAGAATTTTCCCCCATGCCTGCCTTCCTGATAATTCTTCACAAAAAGTGAACACTTACTTTGAGTCTTGTACGGACAAAAAATACTGGACGTCGCGGGGGGCGGTCGGACCCCGTGCCCAGCTACAGTTCATGAAATCCGCGTTGTAGATGAAGCAGGAGAAATTCCGGGCAGCGGAGCCCTGCTTGCCTGGGGAGAGGCACAAACAAAACACTTTTCACTCAAAAGTTAAACGGGGTCAGGAGCGACGGCTCACGCCTGCCACCCCAGCGCTTTGGGAGGCCGAGATGGACACATCACCTGAGGTCAGGAGTTCGAGACCAGCCTGGCCAACATGGCGAAACCCCGTCTCTACTAAAAGTGGAAAAAATTGGCCGGGCGCAGGGGCTCACACCTGAAATCCCAGCACTTTGGGAGGCTGAGGTGGGTCGACTAGTTGAGGTCGGGAGTTCCACACCAGCCTGACAACATGGAGAAACCCTCTCTCTACCCAAAATACAAAAAATTAGCCTGGCGTGGTGGCGGGCACCTGTCATCTTAGCTACTCGGGAGGCTGAGGCAGGAGAATCGCTTGTCCCCAGGAGGTGGAGGTTGCAGTGAGCCCAGATCACGCCACTGCCCTCCGGCCTGGTGGACAGAGCCAGACTCCAGCTCCAAAGAAGAAAAAAGGAAGTTAAATGGGATTGAGTTTGATGCTCTTGGGTGCGGCTTCGAATGGTGGGGGAGGGCTGTGCAGAGATCCCTGTGGTGTCTTTCTTACCGGGGTTCGGATAAGGCATTTTTTCTTGAAATACTCCTTGGCTGGTCTGCACGTGAACCTCGAAAGTGACTCCCCCATGCAGTGTGACCTCACGAAACGTGCATGAACATTCTTTCTTCCTGAGCTGAGAAGTTGGAGAGTGTCAGAGCAGATCAGGAGAGGAATTTGCCTCTCCTCTGCTCTGCGTGGTGTTGGTCTATCCAAACCCGGAGACGCCCACCTGCCTCCCTCAGTGAGATCGTCCCCCTACGCCTCCTCCGAGGACTCTGAGTGGATACCCCAAATACCAGCTGGCAGGTGCAAAATGAATGTCGTAATTGAGCAGTGTTTAGAATATCAGAGTGAGGCAGGGTGGGGTGCTTTATAACTGTCACCCCAGAACTTTGGGGGGGCCGAAGCAGGTGGATCACCAGAGGTCAGGAGTTCAAGACCAGCCTGGCCAACAAG